GTTGTTGAGGTGGTTCGACATGAGAGAATGGAGCGAAACAGAATGACTTCAAGAGTGTATCAGTCTGTAGTGGAAGGAAGGCGGGGTAGGGGTCGGCCTAGGAAGGGTTGGAGGGAGGGGGTAAAGGAGGTTTTGTGTGCGAGGGGCTTGGACTTCCAGCAGGCATGCGTGAGCGTGTTTGATAGGAGTGAATGGAGACAAATTTTTTTTTAATACTTGACGTGCTGTTGGAGTGTGAGCAAAGTAACATTTATGAAGGGATTCAGGGAAACCGGCAGGCCGGACTTGAGTCCTGGAGATGGGAAGTACAGTGCCTGCACTCTGAAGGAGGGGTGTTAATGTTGCAGTTTAAAAACGGTAGTGTAAAGCACCCTTCTGGCAAGACAGTGATGGAGTGAATGATGGTGAAAGTTTTTCTTTTTCGGGCCACCCTGCCTTGGTGGGAATCGGCCGGTGTGATAATAAAATAAATAAAATATATATATAATATATATATATATATATATAATATATATATAATATATATATATATATATATATTATAATATATAATAATATTATATATGTGTGCGTGTGTGTGTGCCCACCTAGTTGTGGTTGCAGGGGTCGAGTCATAGTTCTTGGCCCCGCCTCTTCACTGGATGCTACTGGGTCACTTCCCGCTCCATGAGCTTTATCATACCTCTTCTTAACGCTATGTATGGATCCTCCCTTTAATACATCACTTCACAGACTATTCCACTTCCTGACAACTCTGTGACTGAAAAAATACTTCCTAACATCCCTGTGATTCATCTGAGTCTTCAACTTCAAACTGTGACCCCTTGTTACTGTGTCCCATCTCTGGAACATTCTGTCTCTGTCCACCTTGTTGATTCCTCTCAGTATTTTATAAGTCGTTATCATACCCTTCCTATCTTTCCTGTCCTCCAGTGTCGTCATGCCGATCTCCCTTAACCTCTTCTCGTAGGACATAACCCGTAGCTCCGGGACTAGTCTTGTTGCAAATCTTTGCACTTTCTCTAGCTTCCTTACATGCTTGGCTAGGTGTGGGTTCCAAACTGGTGCTGCATACTCCAATATGGGTCTGACGTACACAGTGTACAGGGTCCTGAACGAGTCCTAATTAAGATGTCGGAATGCTGTTCTTAGGTTTGCTAGGCGCCCATATGCTGCAGCAGTTATTTGGTTGATGTGCGCCTCCAGAGATGTGCCCGGTGTTATACTCACCCCAGGATCCTTTTCCTTGAGTGAGGTTTGAAGTGTCTGCATACAACACATGTCAGTGACACTGTTCTGTAGTTTAATGCTGGGTGTCTCTCCCCTTTTTAAAAATTGGGATATATTTGTTGTTTTCCATGCCTCAGGTAGTCGCCCTGTTTCGATAGAAGCTCCTCTGCTCCCTCTCTTAGGACTCATGGAGAGATTATTATCCGGGCCCATTACCTTTGAGATATCTAGTTCGATTAGCAGCCTCTTCACCTCCTCCTCGGTTTTATGTATCATGTCCCTTGTTGGTGTATCCCACCTCCCACCTGTGTGTGTGTGTGTGTGTATACTCACCTATTTGTACTCACCTATTTGGGGTTGCAGGGGTCGATTTATAGCTCCTGGCCCTGCCTCTTCACTGATTGCTACTAGGTCCTCTCTCTCCCTGCTCCATGGGCTTTATCAAACCTAGTCTTAAAATTATGTACGGTTCCCGCCTCCACTACGTCACTTTCTAGGCTATTCCACTGCCTGACTACTCTATGACTGAAGAAATACTTCCTAACATCCCTTTGATTCATCTGAGTCTTCAATTTTTAATTGTTACCTCTTGTTTCTGTGTCCCATCTCTGGAACATCCCGTCTATGTCCACCTTGTGTATTCCGCGTTATTATTTCTCCCCTGACCCTCCTATCCTCCAGTGTCGTAAGGCCGATTTCCCTCTACCTCTCTTCGTAGAAGACAATCCCCCTAGCTCTGGGACTAGTCTTACTTGGAGTTTACTTGGAGAGAGTTCCGGGGGTCAACGCCCCCGCGGCCCGGTCTGTGACCAGGCCTCCTTAGGTCAGTGTCCCAGGATGCGACCCACACCAGTCGACTAACACCCAGGTACCCATTTTACTGATGGGGAACATAGACAACAGGTGGAAAGAAACACGTCCAATGTTTCTACTCTGGCTGGGAATCGAACCCAGGCCCTCACCGTGTGAAGCGAGAGCGTTAACCACCATTTCTTGACATGCTTGACCAGGTGTGGATTCCAAACTGGTGCTGCATACTCCAGTATGGACCTGACGTAAATGGTGTACAGAGTCTTGAACGATTCCTTACTGAAGTATCGGAACGCTATCTTTAGGTTTGCCAGACGCCCGTATGCTACAGCAGTTATCTGACTGATGTGTGCCTCAGGAGATGTGCTCGGTATTATACTCACCACCAGATCTTTTTCCTTGAGTGAGGTTTGCAGTCTTTGGCCATCTAGACTATACTGTGTCTGCGGCCTTCTTTGCCCTTCCCCAATCTTCATGACTTTGCATTTGGCAGGGTTAAATTCAAGGAGCCAGTTGCTGGCACAAATGGTGGAAGTAAATCACGGGTTTACTGTTCACACTGAAACCATTGAAGATAATAATAATAATAATAATAATAATAATAATAATAATAATAATAATAATAATAATAATAATAATAATAATAATTCAACAAGTACATGTACCAAGGTATACAATCCTAGCTGACATCATGACATACTACTATATACAAAGCCGCTTGTTATGCTGAGCATTTCGGGCAAATTAGGTCAGTTTTGTCCCAGGATGCGACCCACACCAGTCGACTAACACCCAGGTACTCATTTTACTGATGGTTGAACATGGGAAGTAGGTGTCTTATGGCAACACGTCCTAATGTTTTCCAGCCCTACCGTGGATTCGATCCCCTGAGTCGTCAGGTAGCGTGTAGAAAAACTTGAGGGTTGGAGTGAAACCCTAGGTATCGTAGGACTTACATATATTTGGGGGAATCAAGTACAGGCAGAGAGAGATGAGAGGAGCCAAACCAGTCCAGAGGAAAGCTGGTGTCAGCAGGTTTGGTCGGCGAGGAATGAGAGAGGCATCGCTGGGTATGTCTAACTTGAAGGCTACGGGACACCATAGATGGTGTCCCGTAAACACTAATGTATTTTTACTGTTGTGTGGAAAGATATATTAAGAATAAAATAATCCTGCAAATAAACATGGAATTAGCAAGAATACAAAGACAATCCCATGGCCGGAACAAATCACACCAAGGCCACAGGTTGCGAAGGAATTCTGGACGCCTCGACGCTCGGCATCCTGACCTTCCAGGGATTTACACATGGGTTTTTCCCTCACTAGCAGCTTGATTAATCCACGATGCACCGAATCATCATCCAAATCTCATTTCTAATTTGTGGACATGTTGTCATGATATTAATACTGAAAATTAAACTAGTAATTTCAGTCTTACCTCCGCTATTGCCTCTAAGAAGAAATTTGCGTTAAACCTCGTCTGGGCTAAAAGTTTATCCTGAATGACTGTGTTGTTAATGTGCTCCATCAGCTTCAGGTGCTCCACTGCGTGCTCCATTCTCTCCAGTCTGGCAGAGAGCCCATCATCAAATGACTGTAACAAACAATTTTGGTAACAATAACGACGCTAGCCACATACATTAGGTAATTAATTAATTTAATCATTGACAGTGAGGTCTTGGCTGATAAACGACTGGGAAGAACCAGGTTAACAGACATGAAGGTATTAGATAATGGAAACAGGACATAGGGTTCTTATATAAAATTGATGGCAGAATTAGATGTGAAATATGTGAATAAAAAGTATGTGGAGAAGTTGATACTGATAAATGCTTAATGACAACAGAAATCATTATGGACTAAACGAGAGAATGAATTGTACATGAGAGCTCTGAGAGGGTGGGGGGAAGAGTGCAGACATTTTGAAGGAAACCTTAAAGATAAAGATATAAGACAAGGTTCTTGGTGTATGTTAGTTAGCCTATCCCTCATGTGAGGGAATGCCAGTAATATAATGCTGCATCCGCTAGGATAGTGTAGTGTCGGGAACTGACTGTGGGATCAACACAGATGAGGCTACAAACATTGTTCAACACAGTGCTGAAACTGCTCTTGCTCTTGCTCTTGCTCTCTCTCTCTCTCTCTCTTTTTCCTTTTCTCTCTCTCTCTCTCTCTCTCTCTCTCTCTTTTCTTCTCTCTCTCTCACTCTCTCTCTCTCTCTCTCTCTCTCTCTCTCTCTCTCTCTCTCTCTCTTCTCTCTCTCTCTCTCTTCTCCTCTCTCTCTCTCTCTCTCTTCCTCCCCCTCTCTTTTCTCTCTCTCTCTCTCTCTCTCTCTCTCTCTTCTCTCTTTTCTCTTCTCTCACTCTCTCTCCTCCTCTCTCTCTCTCTCTCTCTCTCTCTCTCTCTCTCTCTCTCCCCCCCCCCCTCTCTCCCCCTCTCTCTCTCTCTCTCTCTCTCTCTCTCTCTCCTCTCCTTCTTCTCTCTACTCTCTCTCTTCTCTTCTTCTCTCTCTCTCTCTCTCTCTCTCTCTCTCTCTCACTGTTGGACAAGTGTGTCAATTATCAAGCTGTCAGCGTTCAAAACCATCTATACGAACTCCATTCTGATGTTTTAATAAAACTCACCTTGCACCTCTGATAAATTTTGTATTCACTGTTGATATCCAACTGTTTGGTTGACAGTTCAGCTTCTTGAAGACGGTTAGTATAGTTCTTGAGACAGACAGCCTTGGCTAGGTCGTCACTGAACGGTGAACTAAACAAAGGTGGAGTCAACTTCAAGGCAAACTTGCTATTATCACTGCCATCTACGTCCAGGTGCAGATCAAAGAATGGCGCACTGTACCAAATAAACGACAAATGTTATACATTATATCCACACTATACATTGTTATTAACACTTATAACTTTTGAATCAGGTTAATATTCTTGGCCTAAATTATTTTTAACAGTTGAGTTACTTTGCAGTTTTAATTTTTTATAATCATGACTGATTTCGACTGCATCCTACCGCTAGGCTTTAAATAATAATTAGTTCCTAGGATCCCAGTGGAAATAAGTCACTTTTTTGGGGGTTATCCAGGAGGGTAATTTACACATATGTTACTGTGATAACTGTTATTACCTAAATTTGGGTAATTGTACTAATGTTTACTTGTACCTAAATAAACTTTGTTATTCGTGTGATGAGCAGTGACGTAAGTGGCTATATCACGCATCAAAGGTACGTAATAATTTTTGCATTCCAATATATATATATACTGGTCATATAGACAGAGATAAACTATTGTTGTTTTGGTACCATGTTTGCTGTGTCACTGTAGTATAGAAGTACAGAGTACACTGTATATCGTCCCATTGTACACCATAGAAGCAGTGTGCATTATTAATTGTATCAGTGTACACTATGGTAGTACTGTTAGAAGTATAATACTTGTAGAGTTGTATAGGCATTGATAGTAGCTTACAGTCACCTTCCATGTTTAAGCCTCGATGCATCTTGCGCATGAGCAGATACTTTTTTTCCCCTCATCAGACCTAGACAGGCTGGGCTCGCCAAGTAATATAATAATATCTTATTTCTACAAGTATATGTACATGGTATACAAGCCTAGCTGACATCATTGACATACTATTATAGTGAAAGCGTCTTGTTATTGCCTGGAGTTTCCCTGGAGAGAGTTTCGGGGGTCAACGCCCCCGCGTCTCGGTCTGAGACCAGGCCTCATGGTGGATCAATGTCTGATCAACCAGCCTGTTACTGCTGGTCTCACGCAAGCTGACGTACGAACCACAGTCCGGTTGGTCAGGTACTGACTTGAGGTTCTTGTCCAGTGCCTTCTTGAAGACAGCCAGGGGTCTATTGGTAATCCCCCTTATGTATGCTGGGAGGCAGTTGAACAGTCTTGGGCCCCGGACACTTATTGTGTTGTCTCTCAATGTACTCGTGGCGCCCCTGCTTTTCATCGGAGAAATGTTGCCTCTCCTGCCGAGTCTTTTGCGGGTTATTTGTGTGTTGTTCCAGTCACGGTATTGTGTCTTTTTGTTATTCATATGGAGTGATTTTCGTGTGCAGGTTTAGTGCCAATCCCTCCAGGACCTTCCAAGTATATATTATTATGTATCTCTCTCGCCTGCATTCGAGGGAATACAGATCAAGGACCTTCAACCGTTCCCAGTAGTTTAGATGCCTTATCGCACTTATGTGTGCCGTGAAAGTTCTTTGCACACTCTCCAGGTCTGCAATGTCGCCAGCCTTGAAGGGGGCAGTTAGTGTACAGCAGTATTCCAGCCTAGAGAGCACAAGCGATTTGAAGAGAATCATCATTGGCTTGGCATCCCTATTTTGAAGGTTCTCATTATCCATCCTATCATTTTCCTAATGGATGAGGTAGACACATTGTTGTGGTCTTTGAAGGCGAGATTCTCTGACATTATCACCCCAGGTCCTTCACATTACTGTTCCGCTCTATTGTATGGTTAGAATTTGTCGTATACCCTGATACATTTTTAATTTCTTCAAGATTCCCATATCTGAGTATTTGAAATTTCTCCTCGTTGAACTTTATTTTCTTTTGAGTGGCCCATTCGAAGATTTGGTTGATGTCCGCTTGGAGTCTCACGTTGTCTTCGATGGAGGTCACTGCCATGTTTATCCGAGTGTCATCCGCAAAGGAGGACACGAGCTATGGCTTACATCTCTGTCTATTTCAGAAATGAGGATGGGGAATAGAATGGGAGCGAGTACTGTGCCTTGTGGAACAGAGCTTTTTACCGTAGCTACCTCAGACTTGACTCTGTTGACTATTACTCTTTGTGTTCTACTTGTCAGGAAGTTCTAGATCCATCTACCAACTTTTCCCGTTATTCCTTTATCACACATTTTGTGTGCTATTACACCATGGTCACACTTGTCGAAAGCTTTTGCAAAGTTTGTGTATACTACATCTGTATTTTGTTTATCCTCTACAGCATCCAGGACCTTGTCATAGTGGTCCAGTAGCTAGGACAGGCAGGAGCGACCTGTTCTGAACCCGTCTTGCCCTGGGTTGTGTAAATGATGACGATCTTGCTTCTTAGAACTCTCTCAAAGATTTTTATGATATGGGATGTTAGTGCTATCGGTCTGTAGTTCTTTGCAATTGCTTTACTGCCACCTTTGTGGAATGGGGCTAAGTCTGTTGTTTTTAGTGTGTGTGGGATGACCCCTGTGTCCATGCTGAGCATTCGGACAAACTAGGCAGTTTTGTCCCAGGATGCGACCCACACCAGTCAACTAACACCCAGGTACCCATTTTACTGATGGGTGAACATGGACAACCGGTGTAAGGAAACACGCCCAATGTTTCTACCCTCGCTGGGAATCGAACCCGGCCACCGGCCACCGTAATAACGTCTTCGTATAACAGTCTAAACTAAAGTTTTGTTGGTAACCATTCGCCCCTCCATGAACACCACGATATCATTTGTAGTGGTGTCCTTGGAAAGGCGACTGTTCACGAAGGAGAAGGTTGATAGTTATACGGAGGCGTTATTATTGATATTATGGTGCCCGTGACCAGGTAGGCAACGCTCTTGCTTCACACGCTGAGTATCCGTGGTTCGATCCCCGGCAAGGGTGGAATTATTGGGCGTTTCCTTATCTCTATTGTCCCATTCACCTAGCAAGAACGTACCTGGGTGTTAGTCGACTGGTGTGGGTCGCACCCTGGAGAACAAGATGACTCCGATGGAAATAAGAGAGACATTCTCTCGATGACGCACTGCTTTCTTGGGTGGCTAACCCTCCTTGGTTAAAAAAAAAAAAGAATAGCGCATCCGCTGCATGCGTGATGTGGATTAGGGCGTCATGTGTTGTCGCCCACCATGAGGCAGGCCAAAGCAGCATGGGTTCGAGTCCTTGGCTAGTGCAGTGTTGTTATTGATCAATACCACTCGTTCGCGGTCACAATAATATATATATATATATAAATAATAATATATATATATATATATTAATATATATATATATATAATAATTATATATATATATATATATATATAATATATATATTAATGTGTGTGTGTGTGTGTGTGTGTGGTGTGTGTGTGTAAAACTGGTCAATTAGCAAGAACTCATTTAAAATTAAGTCCTTTATAAAATTTTCTCTTATACGTTTTTTTTTTTTTCGCCGGTACACTCCCGGCCCGGGTCTTTTCCAAGTAGTGGTGACCCGGCCTTGGCTCCCTATCTGGGGAGTGTCTCGAGACTTAAGTCTCCCATGGGAGGAGGTACAAGTACCTCCTCATCTTTGGGACCACGTGTCCCCAGGCCTAGCCACATTCCCCGCCCTCACGGGGCTCGTAGGGAGAAGCTAGGCCTCTGGTCTGCCATCTACCCCGCCTCAAAGGGGCTCGTGGGGATGGCAGTCTTATGAGCTGCAGGTGGTAGCAAGCTCAGGCTCTCTTATACGTTTAAAGATGTATTTTTTTTCCTTAATGTTGATGTAAAATTTTATAATTTTGCACCAAAAGGAACTTAGAAAACTTACCTAACCTTATTATAACAAGAACAATTTATTTTAGCCTAACCCAACTAAATATATTTTAGATTTGTTTACAATAATTTAATACTAAACAAACACAGTGAAATATATTTTTTTCGTTAGGTTCAGAAAGATTTTGACGAAATTATTCCATACACAAATTTTCGCTTGTCCTATATGGCAAGATGAGCGTTGCTATTTAAGCCAAGGTCGCAAGTTCTGCCTATTCGGCACGACATATATATATATAATATATATATATAATATATATATATATATATATATATATATAATATATATATATATATGTGTGTGTGTGTGTGTGTGTGTGTGTGTGTGTGTTGTGTGTGTGTGTGTGTGTGTGTGTGTGTTGTGTGTGTGTGTGTGTGTGTGTGTGTGTGCTTCGTGACTCTACATACTATGGTTTGTACTACATGACTGTACATAGAACAGTCTATGTGCTACAAACTGCATATAATTGTTTTTTGACGCACAAGGTTATAAATACAGTTTCTTAAAAGCCAATTTTTTGCTAACCTAACTTGTATGTTAGTGAAGAAAACATCACTATTCAAGAATAACCAATTAAGCTGAGTCTTGATGATGATTTTAAAAAATACTCACAAGTGCAACTTCATCATGTTGGCCAAACAAGTCGTCAAATTGAACTTCGTGTCGTACTCAGGCAATAATTCGTCTTTCTTTAGTGCTGGATTAGGATTAAACTCAAAGGAAACATTGCTGAATAGGTTCCTAGCCTGTTCCAAGCGTTCAGTTTCGTTGTAGTCGAGTGTAAACGTCAAGCAGCTGTTGTAGTACTGTTGTATTGGTTCGGCAACAGAGTCACTCGGGGAACCACTCACCAACTTATCTGTAGACACAGTGACGCAAAATACAATGCAAAGATCGGTATTAATAGCTCCTGTGTTTTTGGCAGATGTTAGGTTTTCAATTATCATGCAACTCACCTTAGCACCCAAGATTATTTTTGGGGGATATATGGATTCGACATTGATATGAGGTCCGAGTCCAAATCTGCAGTACAAGTGTGGGAGTAATTAGACATGACTGTAAAGTGCAACAACGTGCACGTATTAATATTAAATTAATAACTAGTTTAAGCACTAGCTTAACCACTAGTTTAGCTACTAGTTTAACCTCTTACCTAGCCACTTGCTTAATTAACCACTAGTGTGAGAGAGCGAAATTCTGAGTAGTGTATCAGCCCTTGTTGACGTGATGAATAACACACAGCTGGTGTTGTACATTAATCTTATACATCAACTTGTCGGTATTATATACCATTGATTAAATTTTTCTTGTTTACTTGTTCATACAAGCGAGGCTTCGCTAGAGGATAAGATAGTGAAAGGAGACATAAATGAGAGGAAAAGTAGTATTGATGTCCATAAATAGCTACTGAAGAATAAATCTGATAGGCAGTGATCATGTAGATGTATATCAGAACCAGTTTACGTAAATACTATGACAACGGAAGAATTGAGGACCGGGTGATGGATGAGACACATTGATTGATGCCTTAATATTGATATTAGTGAAATGAAACTTAGTAGTGTAAGATTAAGGGAGCTATACAACAGCCCTTGTTTACCTTCACTTAAGTCACGTTGCATCAGCACACACAACACTCTCAAATATAAATATATCAAATATATACATTCTTGTTTCATAGCACCGGGGGTATCCCACCCAGGCAGGGTGACCCAAAAAGAAAAACTAAAGTTTTTCTTTTTAATTATAGTAATATATAGAGGAGAAGGGGTTACTAGCCCCTTGCTGCTGGTATTTTAGTCGCCTCTTACGACACGCATGGCTTACGGAGGAAGAATTCTGTTCCACTTCCCCAGAGAGATAAAAGGAAATAAACAAGAACAAGAACTAGGAAAAAAATAGAATGAATATCAAAATGGTATACAATACCGACAAGTTGGTAGGTAAGACACATAGGCAACATTTAGGCAACTTTATTCCGAAACGTTTCGCCTACACAGTAGACTTCTTCATTGCTTGACTGAAGACGCCTACTATGTAGGCGAAACGTTTCGGAATAAAGCTGCCTATATGTTGCCTATGTGTCTTACCTACCAAAAAAAATAGAAGAAAACCCAGAAGGATGTTTACCTGGAGTTTACCTGGAGAGAGTTCCGGGGGTCAACGCCCCCGCGGCCCGGTCTGTGACCAGGCCGCATAGTGGATCAGCGCCTGATCAACCAGGCTGGTACTGTTGGCTGCACGCAATCCAACGTACGAGTAACAGCCCGGCTGGTCAGGTACCGATTTTAGGTGCTTATCCAGTGCCTGCTTGAAGACAGCCAGGGGTCTATTGGTAATCCCCCTTATGTATGCTGGGAGGCAGTTGAACAGTCTCGGGCCCTTGATACTTATTGTGTTGTCTCTTAACGTGCTAGTGACACCCCTGCTTTTCATTGGGGGATGTTGCATCGTCTGCCGAGTCTTTTGCTTTCGTTGTGAGTGATTTTCGTGTGCAAGTTCGGTACTAGTCCCTCTAAGATTTTCCAGGTGTATATAATCATGTATCTCTCCCGCCTGCATTCCAGAGAGTACAGGTTCAGGAACTTCAAGCGCTCCCAGTAATTGAGGTGTTTTATCTCCGTTATGCGCGCCATGAAGGTTCTCTGTACATTTTCTAGGTCAGCAATTTCACCTGCCTTGAAAGGTGCAGTTAGTGTGCAGCAATATTCCAGCCTAGATAGAACAAGCGACCTGAAGAGTGTCATCATGGGCTTGGCATCCCTAGTTTTGAAGGTTCTCATTATCCATCCTGTCATTTTTCTAGCAGATGCGATTGATACAATGTTATGGTCCTTGAAGGTGAGATCCTCCGACATGATCACTCCCAGGTCTTTGACGTTGGTGTTTCGCTCTATTTTGTGGCCAGAATTTGTTTTGTACTCTGATGAAGATTTAATTTCCTCATGTTTACCATATCTGAGTAATTGAAATTTCTCATCGTTGAACTTCATATTGTTTTCTGCAGCCCACTGAAAGATTTGGTTGATGTCCGCCTGGAGCCTTGCAGTGTCTGCAATGGAAGACACTGTCATGCAGATTCGGGTGTCATCTGCAAAGGAAGACACGGTGCTGTGGCTGACATCCTTGTCTATGTCAGATATGAGGATGAGAAACAAGATGGGAGCGAGTACTGTGCCTTGTGGAATAGAGCTTTTCACCGTAGCTGCCTCGGACTTTACTCTGTAATAAAGTTGGTAGAATTACCGACAATATGTAAAGTAAAAGGACACAAGAGGTGTTTCTGGGTATGCCCAAATGAGGAAAATCTGTGGACTAAAATCACAAGGGTATTAAAAGAGGACAACATCAAAGCTGCTTTCATAGAAAACCTGGAAGCTTTCTACAACAGATGGGAACATAAAAAGTCTGGGCTGAATGGTACTGCCCTTGATACTGGCCATGTAGTCACAAACTGTGACTGTTCAACTGCCTCCCAGCACACATAAGGGGGATTACCAACAGACCCCTGGCAGTCTTCAAGCTGGCACTGGACAAACACCTAAAGTCAGTTCCTGATCAGCCGGGCTGTGGCTCGTACGTTGGTTTGCGTGCAGCCAGCAGCAACAGCCTGGTTGATCAGGCGCTGATCCACCAGGAGGCCTTGTCACAGACCGGGCCGCGGGGGCATTGACCCCCGAAACTCTCTCCAGGTAAACTCCAGGATCAGCGCCTGATCAACCAGGCTGTTGCTGCTGGCTGCACGCAAACCAACGTACGAGCCACAGCCCGGCTGATCAGGAACTGACTTTAGGTGCTTGTCCAGTGCCAGCTTGAAGACTGCCAGGGGTCTGTTGGTAATCCCCCTTATGTGTGCTGGGAGGCAGTTGAACAGTCTCGGGCCCCTGACACTTATTGTATGGTCTCTTAACGTGCTAGTGACACCCCTGCTTTTCATTGGGGGGATGGTGCATCGTCTGCCAAGTCTTTTGCTTTCGTAGTGAGTGATTTTCGTGTGCAAGTTCGGTGCAAGATCCACCAGGAGGCCTGGTCACAGACCGGGCCGCGGGGGCATTGACCCCCGAAACTCTCTCAAGGTAAACTCCAGGTAATGTGACATTTATTGTGGCAACGTTTCGCTCTCCAGGAGCTTTATCAGGCCATTACAAACAATACACGGACACAGAGGGTATATAAAGGCTCAGAGTGAGGTGTAATACTAGTGAGGTACCATTTAGATGTTCACTAGTGGTAGTGGTAGTAGTAGTAGTAGTAGTAGTGGTAGTGACAAAAGTAATACAATATGGTAGAGCAATTAATTCGTACATGAGTAAAAGGATATAAAAGCTATTACTTGGGTAACATAAAAATAGGTTGGACAAATATATAGAGTGGAAAGAGGCAGCTTGTTTCAGTGTTCACTCTCTGTAATGTGCTTTGTGTAGTATAACAGGAGAGATGAACATCAAAATGGTATACAATACCGACAGGTTGGTAGGTAAGACACATAGGCAACAGTTAGGCAACTTTATTCCGAAACGTTTCGCCTACACAGTAGGCTTCTTCAGTCGAATACAGAAAGTAGGCAGGAACAGTAGAGATGTGAAGACGATGTAATCAGTCCATCACCCTTGAAGTCGTAGAATCTCAAATTCTACGACTACAAGGGTGATGGACTGATTACATCGTCTTCACATCTCTACTGTTCCTGCCTACTTTCTGTATTCGACTGAAGAAGCCTACTGTGTAGGCGAAACGTTTCGGAATAAAGTTGCCTAACTGTTGCCTATGTGTCTTACCTACCAACCTGTCGGTATTGTATACCATTTTGATGTTCATCTTGTCAGACACTGCAACACATGGCCTCTTGGTACAGAAAACGCCTTAGACAACCCTTTCAAGTGAGAACTGTTGGATCTGAGAGGGACCTGACTTCTCAGTGGCTACACTCTCACTACTACTACTACTACTCTGCACCTCTCCTTCCGACAGTATTTAAGTCTCCGCACTGTCGCTTGATCTTCAGATAGTTCCTGACTATGGAACTGAACTTCTCCAGGCCGAGGGACTGACAACCTCAAATTCTACGACTTCAAGGGTGATGGACTGATTACATCGTCTTCACATCTCTACTGTTCCTGCCTACTTTCTGTATTCGACTGAAGAAGCCTACTGTGTAGGCGAAACGTTTCGGAATAAAGTTGCCTAACTGTTGCCTATGTGTCTTACCTACCATAACAGGAGAGACTATGTGATGGCAGGGTTTACTGTTTTCAGGAGGATTCTTGCTAAGACTTCGGAGATGGTGAAGCTGCCGTTGTTTTGTTATTGTATTGTTATTTGTCCAACCTATTTTTATGTTACCCAAGTAATAGCTTTTATATCCTTTTACTCATGTACGAATTAATTGCTCTACCATATTGTATTACTTTTGTCACTACCACTACTACTACTACTACTACCACTACCACTAGTGAACATCTAAATGGTACCTCACTAGTATTGCACCTCACTCTGAGCCTTTATATACCCTCTGTGTCCGTGTATTGTTTGTAATGGCTTGATAAAGCTCCTGGAGAGCGAAACGTTGCCACAATAAATGTCACATTAGTTGCACTTGTGTCCTTTTACTTTACAGACTTTACTCTGTTGACTACTACACTTTATGTTCTGTTTGTGAGGAAATTATAGATCTATCTACCAACTTTTCCTGTTATTCCTTTAGTACGCATTTTGTGCGCTATTACGCCATGGTCACACTTGTCGAAGGCTTTTGCAAAGTCTGTATATATTACATCTGCATTCTTTTTGTCTTCTAGTGCATCTAGGACCTTGTCGTAGTGATCCAGTAGTTGGGACAGACAGGAGCGACCTGCTCTAAACCCATGTTGCCCTGGATTGTGTAACTGATAGGTATCTAGATGGGTGGCGATCTTGCTTCTTAGGACCCTTTCAAAGATTTTTATGATATGGGATGTTAGTGCTATCGGTCTGTAGTTCTTTGCTATTGCTTTACTGCCCCCTTTGTGGAGTGGGGCTGTCTGTTGTTTTTAATAACTGTGGGACTACCCCCGTGTCCATGCTCCCTCTCCATAGGATGGTAAAAGCTCGTGATAGGGGCTTCTTGCAGTTCTTGATGAACACAGTTCCATGAGTCTGGCCCTGGGGGCAGAGTGCATGAGCATGTCATTTATCGCCTGTTCGAAGTCATTTGGCGTCAGGATAACATCAGACAGGCTTGTGTTTACCAAATTCTGTGGCTCTCTCATAAAAAATTCATTTTGATCTTCGACTCTCAGTCTGGTTAGCGGCTTGCTAAAAACTGAGTCATATTGGGACTTGAGTAGCTCACTCATTTCCTTGCTGTCATCTGTGTAGGACCCATTTTATTTAAGTAGAGGCCCAATACTGGATGTTGTTCTCGACTTATTTGGCATAAGAAAAAAAATACTTTGGGTTTCTTTCGATTTCATTTATGGCTTTTAGTTCTTCCCGCGATTCCTGACTCCTATAAGATTCCTTTAGCTTAAATTCGATGTTTGCTATTTCTCTGACCAGTGACTCCCTACGCATTTCAGATATATTGGCCTCTTTCAGCCGCTCTGTTATTCTTTTCCGTCGCATGTAAAGGGAGCGCCTGTCTCTTTCTATTTTACATCTACTCCTCCTTTTTCTTGAAGGAATAAGCCTTGAGCATACATCGAGTGCCACCGAGTTAATCTGTTCTAGGCATAAGTTGGGGTCTGTTTTGCTTAGTCTATCTTCCCAGCTTATATCATTTAGGACTTGGTTTACTTGGTCCCACTTTATGCTCTTGTCATTTAAGTTGAATTTGGTGAAGGCTCCCTCGTGACTAATCTCATTTTGTCGGTCTGGGGCTCCGCGCATACATGTCTGAACCTCGATTATGTCGTGATCTGAGTGTATTGTTTTTGATATGGTGACATTTCGTATCAGATCATCACTCTTAGTGAAGATGAGGTCAAGTGTATTCTCCAGTCTAGTAGGCTCTATTATTTGCTGGTTTAAGTTGAATTTTGTGCAGAGATTTAAAAGCTCGTGTGTGTGTGAGTTCTCGTCAGAGCTGCCTCCTGGTGTTATCACTGCAACAATATTATTTGTTATATTCCTCCATTTTAGGTGCCTCAAGTTGAAATCCCCCAGGAGCAAGATGCTGGGGGCAGGAGATGGAAGATTTTCCAGACAGTGGTCAATTTTTAACAGCTGTTCCTGGAATTGCTGGGGCGTTGCATCCGGAGGCTTGTAGACTACCACAATGACTAGGTTTTGGTTCTCGATCTTTACTGCTAAAACTTCCACTACATCATTTGAGGCACTTAGCAGTTCTGAGCAAATAAGTGACTCTGCGATATACAGGCCAACCCCCCCCCCTTTTTTTTTTTGCCTGTTCACTCTGTCGCATCTGTATAGGTTGTAACCTGGGATCCATATTTCGTTGTCCAAGTGATCCTTATGTGGGTCTCTGTGAAAGCCACGAACATTGCGTTTGCCTCTGCAAGCAGTCCACGGATGAAAGGTATTTTGTTGTTCGTTGCTGGCTTTAGACCTTGTATATTTGCAAAGAAGAATGTCATCGGACTGGTGGTATTGTTGGTACTGGGGGAGGACTTTTTTTTTCTGGCACTAGTGTATATATATATATATGCTTGTAAATGCATGTGTAGTGTGACCTAAGTGTAAGGAGCAGTAGCAAGACGTACCTGAAACCTTGCATGTTTATGAGACAGAGAAAAGACACCAGCAATCCTACCATCATGTAAAACAAATGCAGGTTCTCGTTTTACACTCACTTGGCAGGACGGTAGTACGTCCCTGGGTGGTTGCTGTCTACCAATCTACTACCTAGTAAATATATATATATATGTCGTGCCGAATATGTAAAACTGGTCAATTAGCAAGAACTCATTTAAAATTAAGTCTTTTCTAAAATTTTCTTTTGTACGTTAAAAGATATTTTTTTTCATTAATGTTGATGTAAAAATTTATAATTTTACACCGAAAGGAACTTAGAAAACTTACCTAACCTTATTATAACAAGAACAATTTATTTTAGCCTAACCAAACTAATTATATTTTAGATTTGTTTACAATAATTTAATACTAAACTAACACAGTGAAATATATTTTCTGCGTTAGGTTCAGAATGATTTTGGCGAAATTATTGCATACACAAATTTTCACTTGTCCTATATGGCAAGATGAGCGTTGCTATTTAAGCCAAGATCGCAAGTTCTGCCTATTCGGCACGACATATATATATATATATATATATATATAATATATATATATATATATAATATATATATATATATATATATATAATATATATATATATGTTGTGCCGAATATGTAAAACTGGTCAATTAGCAAGAACTCATTTAAAATTAAGTCCTTTCTAAAATTTTCTCTTATACGTTTAAAGATATATTTTTTTCAATAATGTTAATGTAAAAATTTTTAATTTTGCACCAAAAGAATCTTAGAAAACTTACCTAACCTTATTATAAAAAGAATAATTTATTTTAGCCTAACCCAACTATATATATTTTAGATTTGTTTACAATAATTTAATACTAAACAAACACAGTGAAATATATTTTTTTCGTTAAGTTCAGAATGATTTTGGCGTAATTATTGCATACACAAATTTTCATTTGTCCTATATGGCAAGATGAACGTTGCTATTTAAGCCAAGATCGCAAGTTCTGCCTATTCGGCACGACATATATATGTATATATATATATATATATATATATATATATATATATATATATATATATATATATATATATATTATATATTATATATATATATATATATATATATATAATATATATATATAATATATATATAATATATATAGTAAAGATTATACCAAAAAAGCATGTTTAGAAAGCCATTACTCACTTTTGATAAGATTATCAACTTGCACTTTGGGGTCCTCAGGGTCGAGGAACAAGTCGTCTAAAACACCCCCGCACGAGTACTGATAAAAGTCCTGTGGACAGATAAAATCCAATTTAGGACATCCGTGTTTCTTTTCCTTTTGTATACTCACCCAAATAATTCTTTCTCTTTTCGTCACCAAGATTCACAAATCAGTTTTGGCACACGAATGAACAATCCTTCGTACCTCACAGGGATCAACGTTGCCCAAGTCCATCATGTCCAACATTCTTGCAGCCAGTCGCTTACAGGATGTAGTGTTGCATATACCCTCACCTGTTATAAAGAAAGAATCAAGAGTTACCACATTATCTCTGATAAATGAGAGGGAGGGTAATGGGCAAGTAATGTGCACCGTAACTCCGAATATCATGTAAAGAAATCCTTTCAAACAATAACCAAATTTCTGTAAACTCAGCATTGTAATCCTTATAGAGAATAAACTTTGAATTTTGAATTTGAATTTGAATTTCAAACGTGTGAGCAACAGTAAAACTAAAGCCGACCTATCTTCTTTGCCTTTCCTGGTTCACCTGTGTCTTATTTTTTAAGTAACATTTACATTCATACGTATACGCAGTATACGTATATTTTATATACGTATATTTTATTTCCACGATAAGCGGTTTTAAATGACAGGTATACCTGGATGGTGTTCCAGGGGTTAACGCCTTCACTCCATATTTATACACCCTTCAAGTCAACCTCTTAATGTCCAAAGCGCATCAATAACTCCTTCTCAGCACCTCCTTCTAATCTCCAAACAACGAATTCTCTGCATAATATTCACACCACAGATCACCCTCAGACGTGAAGTCTCCACTACCTCCAGCTTCCTCTAGAAGTAACATTCACATCTCATGTTTCAGTCATGTAAGAGTATTGTTACCACTATTCTCTCATACATTCTTCTTTTTGCCTCTATGGATAACTTTCCTTGCCTCAGCAGATTCATCAATGCACCAACCTTTTCCCTTCGTCAATTCTATGGTTCACTTCATCTTTCATAGACACATTCGCAGACAAGTCTACTCTCAGAAGCCGGAACACTTTCACTCCTCCATAGTTCCTGCTTCCAATCTTTCATTACCTAAAGTTTTTGTTACTCTTATCACCTTACTCTTTCCAATGTTCACTTTTAATTTCCTTTTACATATCTCCCCAAATTCGTCTACCAAACTCTGCACCTTCTCTTCAGAATCTCCCAAAAGCACCGTGTTATCAGCAAAAAGCAACTGGGATAATTCCCATCTTTACGTTCCTCTCCAAAGTGAATGTTTTTGGTGAATAGGCATTTGGTCCCAGAGCTGATGGCACTCGGAAGGTAAACGAGTTGTTTCACCTCCACTCCGCAAATACTGACCCACCAGAGATATCTGTGTCTTTCCTGGGTCATTACATGTGGAAGTGGCACATGCCTGGTTCTACCGACTCCGGGAACAGACCACAAATAACACTGGTCGCTCAGCTTTATGTGTGGTCTGGTATGATAGGTATTGTCCTGTGTACTTTTCCCCATGGTGCGAAAGTTCACGCATCATCTGGCATGATAATTAATATATATATATATATATATATAATATATATATATATATATAATATATATATATATATATATATATAATATATATATATATATATATATGTGTGTGTGTGGTGTGTGTGTGTGTGTATATATATACATATATACATGTATACATACATATATGTGTGTGTATAGGCGTACATACTTTTAGTCTCGTTGAAGATTGTTGTAGAGTTATCAGAAGTCGATTCATCTGTGGTAGTCATCAGAGTCGATTCATCAGTAGACTCCTCAGTTGTTAATGACCATGTGGATGATTCTTCAGTTGTTGCTAATAGAGTAGTGTCTTCTTCAGTTGTTGCAGACAGAGTAGTTTCTTCTTCAGTTGTTGCAGACAGAGTAGTTTCTTCTTCAGTTGTTGCAGACAGAGTAGTTTCTTCTTCAGTTGTTGCAGACAGAGTAGTTTCTTCTTCAGTTGTTGCAGACAGAGTAGTTTCTTCTTCAGTTGTTGCAGACAGAGTAGTTGTTTCTTCAGTTGTTTCAGATAGAGTAGTTGTTTCTTCAGTTGTTGCAGATAGAGTAGTTGTTTCTTCAGTTGTTGCAGATAGAGTAGTTGTTTCTTCAGTTGTTAAACGCAGTGTAGTTGGCTCCTGTGTTGTTGAGGTCATTGCTGCAGACTCGTCAGTTACTAGCACAGGATAGTCATCTGGAAACAGTAAGGAGATTGTGGCTGACTCTCACCGTGTTGTAGAACTTTTGTATTTCACTTGATGACATAGAAAGTATACCATGAATGTTAGATTACAGGTCACAAGAGCAATTAATGACACATTTATTAAAGCCACGATTTGCCCTCAAGTTAATAAATGCAATACATCGACACAGAGGTTATGTAAAGGGAACAAATTGAGGTGCAGAAAGAACATAAGCACCGCAGTAGTAGTAGTAGTAGTAGTAGTTAGTAGTAGTAGTAGTAGTAGTAGTAGTAGTTTTGTTGTTGCTGTCAGGTTACTACAGACTTGATCGTTTTAAGGAAGATTCAGGCTAATATGTTAGAACTGATGACGCTATCGTTGTAATTGTGTCTGAAATAAAGGATAATGAAGCCTCAAGGTGTTTTCAAATATAAGTGTCAAATTCCCTAGTCGTTAAGAGGGCGCCATTCCATTTCATGAAGGGGATGGTGATGCTCTGTTGTACACATGCACTGTATAAGTTGTCACACGAACATGCTGTCTTTCCGACGTATACCTTGTCACAGCCTCCACAAGGGATTGTGTAAACATTTACATAACCTATTTCACGTTCTTCACATTGGTAATGGTGAAGCCCTTGAAGGATGTGCTGGTTGCCACGGCGACTCAAGTAATGCTTTTGTGAGTGCTTTGTAAGCTTTCAGGGCAATTTGGCTGTTGGGAAAGCAGATAATTTTGTTGTAGGTGGAGTCAGTGCGTAAAGCGCTCATGTCTAGCAGTCTTAATAAAGAAGGAAGAAAGTGTAGTTTGGTAAAGGTTTGGTGTATATAGAAGCATTCCTAGTCAAAAAACTCGGGGTTATAAATGCATAATCTCTCAAGAGAAAGGCGATGATGATGCCTCAGTAGTCTTAGTGTAGTCTCCACACACTGACACCACTGTCAACAAAGTTATCATCCTTCCTTACAGATAAGTTGTCCAAAACGTCTTCAGAGTATTTGTACAAGGCAACATTAGAGTCGCCGCAGCTTCCAGCTCATCTATCAGAGACTAAGCCAAATCCCAAGTGAAGAACTTTGCATTAGTCAATGCAGTTGTTACGTAATTCCTTGTGGAAGCTGTGACATAAAGGAAACCGCACGAAACTAAAGAACACGTTTGAACAAACAGATGTAAGCATGCAGATATGACAACTTCAACAATGCGTCTGTACAACACTGGAACTCCACTAGCCACTTGATGAAATAGAACAGTACCTGCTTAGCAGTTAAGGAATCAGAACCCTGCCAAGGGAAATGCCTTAAGTGCCAATAATCTCCATTCCGGACACAGTCACACAGAATGAAGGCAGCGTCACCACTTCTGAAATATTTGTACGAATCCTTAGATAAAACGATACACTCCATCACCTGACAAGTCACTTCTACAACTACTAACCTGGATAAAGACACAAATCCAATGTGATGTAATCCTTTATTCACAACGTTTCGCCCACACAGTGGAATTTATCAAGTCACAAACAGATCAGTTTGTGACTTGATAAAACCCACTGTGTTGGGCAAAACATTGTCAATAGTGAAGCATTATGTTACATTTGTGTCCTTATCCATCTTGTCGGTATTTTACTGCACGACTACTAGAGTGAACCAGTAGGTCTACTGCACGACTACTAGAGTGAACCAGTAGGTCTACTGCACGACTACTAGAGTGAACCAGTAGGTCTACTGCACGATAACTATATGAGTGGAACCAGTAGGTCTACTGCACGACTACTAATGAACAGAGTCACTCACGACTACGAGAACCAGTAGGTCTACTGCACGACTACTAGAGTGAACCAGTAGGTCTACTCAGTACTTACCTTTCATACAATGTTTCCTGTTTACACCTTACCGGTTTTGTGCTGATTATTTTGACCTGATAAAGTCCTCGGAGAGTGTAACGTTCTCTTTCCTAACATATTCTCGGAAATTTGATTATTTATACATACCTTCAGTAGTATATGTGACTGACTGCTTAGTTGTTGAGGAAAGTGTAGTTGGCTCTACTGTTGTAGGAGCCAGAGGGGTGGTGGTGGTGGTAGTAGGAGCCGCAGTGGTGGTGGTGGTAATAGTAGTAGTAGGAGCCGCAGTGGTGGCGGTGGTGGTAGTAGTAGTAGGAGCCGCAGTAGTGGTGGTGGTAGTAGTAGTGGAAGCAGTGGTAGATGTAGCAGGAGCCCCGGCAATGGTGGTAGTGGTAGATGTGGTTTGTGTTACTGCATCTGTTATCACGTCAGGAGGAGCTTCTCCTCTACTCTTAGCCTGGTCAACCTGAGGAAATGTCAACCTCGGGAAGCATGATTTACTTGCCAAATAAATAATGTAGGTGTTTATTCAACAACTGCTATGATTTCAATTGTAATAGTTACATTTGCATTATTAATTCCATAAATGGCAATATTGATAGATTATTGAAGAGCCTATTTTATTTCTAATTTTACACACACACGGAAGGAAACAACGAGTGATGGCACGTGACGAGGTGTCAGAGTGGGCGCTTGTGACGAGCGAGGTTCCACAGGGATCAGTCCTAAGACCGGTGCTGTTTCTGGTATATGTGAATGACATGACGGAAGGGATAGAACGGAAAGGATAGACGGAAGTCTCCCTGTTTGCAGATAATGTTAAGCTAATGTGAAGAATTCAAACGGATGAGGATCAGGTACGACTACAAAAAGATCTGGACCGACTGCAAGCCTGGTTCCAGCAACTAGCTACTGGACTTTAACCTCACCAAGTGCAAAGTCATGAAGTTTGGGGAGGGTCAAAGACCTCAAACAGAGTACAGGATAGGGGCGGGCTAAAGACTGCAAACCTCACTTAAGGAAAAGGATTTTATGGTGAGTATAATATCAAGCACATCTCCTGGGGCGCACAGCAACCAAATAACTTCTGCAGCACATGGGCGCCTGGCAAACATGAAGGAACAATCGAGAGAAAAAAAGAATAACAGACTCAGGTCGACAAAAAAAGAGGAGGGTAGACAAAATGGAAACGTAGCCTCAGAAATCTTAATTACTGGCACAGCCCTTGCTGAGCCCTGAGGAATTCTCCCTCAGGAAACACTCTTATCCCATGAAACAAAATATAATTCAAAACCGACCACCCTGTTCATCTTTTCCACTACATTGGAACCAGCAACCATCTACCTTACTATCTGGTGGAGGAACCAGCAACCACCTTACTATCTGGTGGAGGATCAAGCGACCACCTTACTATCTGGTGGAGGATCAAGCGACCACCTTACTATCTGGAAGAGGAACCAGCAACCATCTACCTTACTATCTAGTGAAGGAACCAGCAACCACTTACCTTACTATCTGGTGGAGGAAACAGCAACCACCTTACTATCTGGCAGAGGAACCAGCAACCACCTTACTATCTGGTGGAGGACCCAGCGACCACCTTACTATCTGGAAGAGGAACCAGCAACCATCTACCTTACTATCCGTTGGAGAATCCAGCAACCACCTTACTATCAGTTGGAGGATCCAGCAACCACCTTACTATCTGGTGAAGGAACCGACAACCACCTACCTTACTATCCGGTGGAGGAACCAGCAACCACCTTACTATCTGGTGAAGGGACCAAGAACCACCTACCTTACTATCTGGTGGAGGAACCAGCAACCACCTTACTATCTGGTGGAGGAACCAACAACCACCTTACTATCTGGAGGAGGAACCAGCAACCATCTACCTTACTAACTGGTTAAGAAATCAGCAACCATCTACCTTACTATCTGGTGGAGGAAACAGCAATCACCTACATTACTATCTGGTGGAGGAACCAGCAACCACCTTCCTTACTATCTGGTGGAGGATCCAGCAACCACCTTACTATCTGGTGGAGGAACCAGCAACCACCTTCCTTACTATCTGGTGGAGGATCCAGCAACCACCTTACTATCTGGTGGAGGAACCAGCAACCACCTACCTTACTATCTGGTGGAGGAACCAGCAACCATCTACCTTACTATCTGGTGGAGGAACCAGCAACCATCTACCTCACTGTCTGGTAGAGGAACCAGCAACCATCTACCTTACTGTCTAGTGGAGGAACCAGCAACCACCTACCTTACTATCTGGTGGAGGAACCAGCAACCACCTACCTTACAATCTGGTGGAGGAACCAGCAACCATCTACCTTTCTATCTGGTGGAGGAACCAGCAACCATCTTCCTCACTGACTGGTAGAGGAACCAGCAACCACCTACCTTACTATCTGGTGAAGGAACCAACAACCATCCACCTCACTATCTGGTGGAGGAACCAGCAACCACGTCACTATCTGGAGGAGGAACCAGCATTCACCTCACTATCTGGAGGAACCAGCAACCACCTCACTATCTGGTGGAGGAACCATCAACCACCTACCTGAGAGCTGTCACACTCTGGACCGTGACAGGGTTTTGGCACTAGACACAGTATAATGATGATGATCACAAACACCACCGCTAACACCGTCAGGAACACGCTGGTTCGCTTGTTGGCTCCCGCCATGATGTTTCTGTACCTGTTGGGGGAAGGTTAGTTAGCTAGTAAATTACCACTTGCCAGAGACACTTGTCGATAGACAATTGGCTTGTTATGTATTTGTGTGTGTGGTTAGTGATGACTGTGTGTATTGAAGAATTTGTTGTAGAGATGAGACAGTGTCTCAACAAAGGTTCACATTACTATTCTTGTGTCTCTCACATCTACCACTGTGATAGCAAAATGGAAATGGGAGAAATGAAGTGTTAAACTTTTCAAAAACACTATATTACGAAAACTTAATTTAGAACCATATAACATAAAGCCTCACACACAAGCACAACTAACATCAAAATATTCGGTCAAGCATACGTACATTTGAGCCATAAATAATTTAATAATACTTTAAATTGTCCCACACCATTAAGAAAAGTCCTCTGGGATAGGTTAAAATCAGTACTAATATGTTTTCCGAGGTTCCGGCAGGTACTGTGGTGATTAGAAAAGTGACGAATTTGGTGAAGGCAAAACAGTGGGCAGACGGTAGAAACATGTAGAAGGGTCAGGAGCACAACACTGATATATACTGGACATTATTAGAGCCCAAGGCAGTAATACCAGATAATCACTTCTGTTCCCTCTTCACATATCAGCAAGTAGGTACCTGAGTGCACTGTTGAGGGTCGCATTCTGGGGACAAGATTGAAGGACCACAATGAAAATAAGTTAGACAGTCCTCAATGACGCACTGACTTGGGTTATCCTGAGTGGCTAACCTTCCCCCGCGTTAAAAAATCCCAACAAATCTTATCATGTGATTTTGCCGGCAAGTTTAACCAAGGAATCCATTGTTCAGCCGACGCTAACCTGCGCCGAGGAGAAGCAGTCACTGATCTCTAAGCAAATATCATGAAGTTATTCAGTATCCTCTCCGCTATTTTGCAGATGCAGCTCATCAAGTAGAATAGTAGAGAGACAGGTAGTTCACAGTCTCCCTGAGGTTCTGAGAGACCAGCTACCCTCCGTGCGTTACCCACCACCTGTCAGTAGCAGAGTAGAGGCCAAGCAATGAGTCTGGAGCATTTCCCAGTATTATACCCTATCTCTTCTGACAAGGAAATGATGCTTTTCACTTTCTTCATAGATTCAGCACGTCCTCCATCCTGATGGCCAACACCAATTAATAAATTAATTTATTAATCAGGCAGTAGCCGTTGTTTCAACAAGAGACTGGCTGATGGGACCGCAAACAACTCGGCTTAGAAGTGCTAGTCTCCATAAAGGGCTCTTCCATACAAATTAAGAATATTAGACAATCTGAAGTCTGGGTTTATGCCCGTTATTTCACCAGAATTAACATTCAGATAGGTAGGAGACCCTTTGTCCAAGATGCTAACTTCAAAGGGGTCAGCAACGGCACTAGAGTAACGCCCCTTCAGTCCGACACTGAGAAACCCCTCGTCGACAACGGGTATCTGATGCTGAGGTTTTCCTTGAGGATAATTATTATTATAATCATGGGGGAGCGCTAAACCCGTAGGATTATACAGCGCATGTGGGGGGGGGATAGAAGGTATTCAGGCTCAATTCAGGGAACCGGAGCACAAATCCAATTCCCTAGATCAAGAGCCCCTCACCAGCGTCAAGGAACCTCCCTTGAGGGGTTTCCTTGAGAGAAAGGGGCCAGGGAGCTCTTGATAAAGTCATCAAGAGTAGAATAGCCAGAGTCCCAGTCTAGAGGGAAGCGCAGGTAGAACACTGCCAGGTATCTGACTGAGACATGAATCACGTCAGGAAGTAGGGTGAAGCATACAACTGAAAAATCAAGGCCTAGGCATAACCTGATGCCCAAAAGTCAACAGGCGGCAAACTGCCTGTGCTGGCAGCTGATGCGCTGCTGTCTCTCACTGCGGCTACGGTTTGTGACAGAAACTGAAAACAATAATATTTCGTGTACTTACTAGCTGAAACTATTATTTAAATTATATGAACATGGAACCACGTACAGCTCGGCAAAATGTGTCTTAAGCGGTACTAGACAGTGTAAGGGCCCTAAGTGTCCCGTTCAAGGGCCCCTAAGTGTCCCATAGCTTGATTGCTAGCTCACTCAGCTCACACACTGAGGTCTATGGTTCGATCCACAGTACGGGTGGAAACATTACGACACCTATTGTCCCTGTCCAACTAGCAGTAAATAGGTACCTGGGTGTTAGTGGACTGGTGTGGGTCGCATCCTGGGACAAAACTGACCTAATATGCCCGAAATGCTCTTCGTAACAAGCGGCTTTTCTATATAGTAATATGTCATTGATGTCAGCTAGGACTGTATACCTTGTACATGTACTTGTAGTAATAAAGATATTATTATTATTATTATTATTATTATTATTATTATTATTATTATTATTATTATTATTATTATTAAGCAGTATCTACCAGTGTATTCTTAAAGAATAAAAGTCACAACACCGTGGCTGGAACAATCCTCGATTATGAGAGGAAACTAATAAAGATATTTCTGTCTTTCCTATAACAATGTCAAGTCACAAAAAGTTGTCCTCCAACAGATGGAACTAATAGGTGAGTATGCAGCATTAATATCCGCCTCTCCTATGATAAGTCTGTACCATCATGTGATGCTATATACACTGAAAGTTGTACATCTTTGTGTATTTTACAACACTGGACAAGTTATTTTACCTGAGTTTTATACCTGGAGAGAGTTCGGGGGTCAACGCCCCGCGGCCGGTCTGGACCAGGCCTCTGGTGGATCAGAGCTGATCAACCAGGCTGTTACTGCTGGCGCACGCAAAAACGTACAGCCACAACCCGGCTGTCAGGAACCGACTTATGTGCTTGTCCTGTCAGCTTGAAGACTGCCAGGGGTCTGTTGGTAATCCCCTTATGTGTGCTGGGAGGCAGTTGAACAGTCTCGGGCCCTGACACTTATTGTTGTCTCTTAACGTGTAGTACCCCCTGCTTTTCTGGGGGAATTTGCATGTCTGCCAAGTCTTTTGCTTTCGTGAGTGATTTTCGTGTGCAAGTTGGGACTAGTCCTCTAACTTCCAGTGTATATTAATATGTATCTCCCCTGCGTTCCAGGGAATACAATTCAGGAACCTCAACGCCCCAGTAATTCGGTGTTTCTATTTCCGTTGCCAGCCGTGAAGGTTCTCGTTAATTTCTAGGTCACACCATGTTGCAACCTACCTTGAAAGTGCACGCGAGGTGTTCTATATGATCACTGAAAGGACAATTTTATCATCGAGAGGTGAAACTCGTTTTTAAGGGTGCATTCTTCCATAATCCTTCAGTGTTTACTTGGATATGTTTCGTGGGTCAACGCCCCGTCGGCTAGACAGGCCTGTGGGATCAGGGTCCCAGGCGTTACTGTGGCCAAATGCAAACTGACGAAAACCCACGTTGGTCACGTATGACTTCGGTCCTGAGTCTTCTTGAAGACAGCCAGGGTCTGTGGTAACCCCCTTATGTATGCTGGGAGGCAGTTGAATAGTCTTGGGCCCCTGACACTTATTGTGTTGTCTCTCAGTGTACTCGTGGCGCCCCTGCTTTTCATTGGGGAATGTTGCATCTCCTGCCGAGTCTTTTGCTTTCCTAGGGAGTGATTTTCGTGTGCAGGTTTGGTACCAATCCTTTCAGGACCTTCCAAGTGTATATTATCATGTATCTCCCTCGCCTGCGTTTCAGGGAATACAGATCAAGGCCCTTCAACCGTTCCCAGTAATTTAGGTGCCTTATCGTACTTATGTGTCCGTTAAAGTTCTCTGAACACTCTCCAGGTCTGCAATATATCCAGCCTTGAAAGGGACCGTTAGTGTACAACAGTATTCCAGCCTAGAGAGAACAAGCGATCTGATATCATGGGCTTAGCATAACTAGTTTTGAAGGTTCGCATTATTCATCCTACCATTTTCCTAGCAGATAACGTAGATATATTCTTGTGATCTTCGAAGACGAGATCCATTGACATTATCACTCCCAGGTCTACGCATTTACGACGAAGTGACGGTTGACCATCACTGACAGAACCCACAAGTGCTACCTTAATCATCACTGACAGAACCACATGAGAACTCTAGTACCTGACATCACTGGAGTACCACAAGGTGCATACCCTGACCATCACTGACAGATCCCAAGTGCTTACTTGAGACATTCATGAACGAACCCCAGTGCTACCTGACATCATGACAGAACCCAAGTGCTACCTGCATCATCTGACAACCCACATGTTACCTGGTCTCCACTGACAGAACACAATGTGCTACCCGACAACGACAGAACCCAGTGCTCCTGCCTCACTGACAGAACCCATCAAGTGCTGACCCGTGTCCATCACTGACAGAACCCACAAGTGGTACCCCTGACCATCACTGACAGAACCACAAAGTCTACCCTGACCATTCACTGGCAGTAACCCACTAAGTGCTACCCTGACCTCATGACGAACCACAAGTTGCTACCCTGCCTCACTGACATTGACCACAGAGTGATTCCTGCTCATGCAGTGATACCACAAGTGCTACCTGACCATCACTGACAGAACCACAAGTGCTACCCCTACCATCACGAGAACCACAAAAGAGCGCTAAGCCACAACGGACTATACAGCGCTGCAGGCATTAGGTAGCAGGGCATCAGGTGCAAAAGGAGTCGATGAGTAAGTTCTACGGAACACTCAGGGCATGGATGTGACAAGGGTAAAGGGCACAAGAGCTGAACTAGATCCAGCCTGAGAGAGGCGAAAAGGATCATCAGAGTTTGTGGAGTAATCAATCGTTTGTAGAAGCATAAGATTTAGGATTAAAGAGGTCCATTTCCAAGAGGAAGTAAGAGATAGATGTTGTGAACGAAGACGAGATTGAGGTTAAATTCCCTGGTGCTCGTTGATAGAGAGGGAGTTAAGAATGTGGCAACATCACTGGAACTTGACACGCTCACAGAGGAACAGGGTGCCTCTCCATGAGATACCCCACAAGTGCTACCCTGGCCATCAATGACAGAACCCACAAGTGCTACTCT